TGTAAGCAGCACATACAGGCACATCTTCACAGGCCTAGTGCCTGCTGCAGAGACAAGCAATCAGTGCAGCTGGTCAAGTCACCCCAAACGTTGTTCATTGCTCTCACTTCTCCGTGTCTGCACAGACAGACTTCGTGACAGACTTGGAGGTGTTGCTGCTTCATCAATTCCAATGGGTCCCAGGAGCCCAATTTTTCCTTCTTGGCTTCTTTGACCCTTAACAAAATGAACATTAAAGAGTCATTATTGTTTGAGACAGATCTTCTTTCTACATTACAGAAGAAGACTAATCTCTTTCTTGAAAAATTTGATTTCTTCTTCAAAAAACAATACTTGGCCCCTTCAAAACTACAGCTTACTGGAAGTCAACAGCTGGAATATCAATTTCACGTAGGATGCTTGTGCAAATATGAAAATTTGGAATTATGTCATTTTTAATTTCCAAACTTAAGATCCCAAATTTGATGCATTAGAAAATGAGAATGTTCATTAAAAACTTAGACCCTTGATGTCCTGTGGTAAGGAGTGCTAGAGGATCATAAAGACCAGGGGGACTTGCTCTCCCTGCAGGTACAAAAGCAAATAAGAGAGTAGTGTTGATCTCAGATAATCCATTCATTTATTTACTGCTTTGGTATTGAAAAGGTATCTAACTATGTTTAGTGTTTGATTGGAAAAAACGGCTGTTCCTAGGACTGCTACCACTACTTCCATCGAGATGACCTTCAATCTGCTTGCTTATAATTGTAACAAACTTGATTTTGGTACTGACACTTGACATCATGGTCCTGATTAAAGTTTCTTCCTACTCTTAAATATTGCACACCTAGAAAGAAGAGCACTCACAAAGAAGTTACTTTATTTGTTTTTCTCCTCAATTTGTAGCTCCTGGCTTTACTTTCTGCTCATTATAAAAATAAGACTCTAAAGGAATAATTCCTAATTTCCACGTGGGTTTTCCTATGTGTATCCTAAGCCTTATAAAGTTTAATGGAGGCTGAGGAAATGAGGAATAGTTCAGCCTTATGTTACAGAAATTAAAATCAAAAGCTTTCACATATTCTAGGTGTTCTGCTTGAGATTTTCACATTTTAAAAGGATTCTATAGTATCAGAGAAATGGCACTGTCCACCAGAGGGAAAACAGAGCAACATTCCTTTAAACTAAGCAGAACGGATTTTAGAACTAAAGATTCATGTTCTGACCCAAATTAATTCTCCTTTAGTCTTTACCCTGCTCTTCACTGGCTGTATTGTTTCATCTGCTCCAGAGATGCTTGTGTTCAGGCAGTCATGCATAAGTGGTGTAGGAAGATTCTGTCCTCATTTTGCCAACATACAGAGCTAACAAAACATGACAATGTTTATGAGATCTCTGTCACAGTAAGCAACTCTCTACAGATTTCTGACTCCTCTTCTAAAAGACTGTAGAAGTTAAAATACCCAAAAGAAGATATGACTCCTTCTGGCAAATGCAGAGACAGAAAATATCAGGGATCTGTCATCTACAGTAGCTAATAAAAAAAAAAAAAAAAAAAAAAAAAAAAAAAAAAAGTGTGTTGGGCAATTGCTGCCAAGGGTTCTCTTCATTTTGATGGGAAGGGATTTTTTTTTTATTATTTTATTATTTATTTTTTATTCAGCACAGAATTATTTAACAAGCAGTTTTCAGCCCATTTGAATGGTTTCAGTCTCTTCAGCTGTTGAAGGAGTACTTTGTCAGTCGTCTTGGGACACTATGGAAGCTGCCACTTCGGCTACTTGAGAAGCTAGCCAGAAATTCTAGCAGCAGGGGAAATGAATTGGCAGGTCCTCAGTAAAATGAAAAATGTATCACAGCACATATGGAGAGTCCAACTGAGCTGCCGACTGTGCCAAAACAGTTCTGTGACCTGTGCCAGATGTGAAGCAAATTCTTGGAATTACCAGAATGCACTATTTCTGTCCCCAAAGGTGTACCATGTAGCAACAAAAATAGAATGTGTATGAAACACAAAATGAACTCTCAGAAAACTGTAGGAGTATTTCTGTACCTTACTTTTCACTTACTTGAGGTCCCTGAGGTCCTTAACAGCCAAACAGACCTTCCAGTTTTTATGTATAAAGAAAAGAAAGAAATGAAATATATTCATTTATTAACAGCTATTAGTAATTACTAATCATAATGTTGGATTTTCAGATTTCAAAAAATAAATTGAAAATAAAATGCATTCAGTATTAATTCTTAAAGATTAGTTAAAAAAAAAAAAAGAAAAAGAAAAAACAATTTTAAAACAATATGCCAATATCCTGAACCATCCTCCTTCATAACAATCCAAATCTTTTGAAGCCATTTATAGCTCCTTATTAGTTCATTATAGTTTCTGACACTTTATAGATTGCAAGTGCTTGCATAATAATGTTTTACAGGTTGCATTAAAAAAAATAATCCATAATTCTCCCCTCTCTCCCTGTAAGGTTATCTTATCTGCTTTTTTTACATTCAGAAAACGTTATGAACATGTCTTGCTTGTTGTCTCACAAAACACTTTGGCCGCCTAAAAGCTTCTTACAAGTTTAAGGTGTTTTATGCCTTTTTCATATGAGATGAATTCCTTCCTCACTTGAATGAAGTTCCAACTTTTTTTTTCTTTCTATAATTCCCTTAGTCCTGAAGGGATGTTACAAACCCCACAGGAGGCAGAGTTTCTTATGCCTTCAGAACGTTACCATATCACACCCTCATTTTTCTTTCGACAAACCTAGTTTGCCTTTAAGCTCTTTGTTAAAATACTTTGCTTAATGACTGTTCTCGAGGAATTTACAAACATTTTCATGTTGTCTTTGATACAATATCTAGAATGAAAGGAAAAATACCCAGGATTACCAAACACAGGATTTGGTTATGATTCATGTGATCTGAGCAGTGATAATACTTATTTTTCAGTATTTCGTACTTAGTATAATGTAGGCAATTTAAAAATTATCCTGTGTGTCTAGATAATGAGCGTTCAGCTGTTTCTCCTCTGAGCATGAATGTGTACAAAGTCAAAAGAAGGCTCTTGTTTGGCATCTACAGAGCTTGGATTAGACTCCATATCCACTTGTAATTCCCTTTACAGAGCACATTTGAAAACAGTGAAGCAAAGGACACATCTAGAGAGTATGTACAGAACACATGTATAATTACTGGCAGGCCATGTAACACTCATTTATATTAAGGTTGCCCAATATTTTCTATTTAAGGCTCTGCTTTTCATTGTTTATAGTTTTATGCAACTTTAAAGACATAAACTGAAACTATTTGTGCCAGATGTCTTTCTTTCTAAATTTTAGCCAAAGCAATTCAGTCATTTACAAGATGAAAGCTAACAAAAAACAGGTGTTTTTCTTGAGTTAAAAGTATTATTTTAAAAATAAAATCTCCACTCTTAATGTTTTGGAGCAGTAAAGTATACTTTGGAAAGTATATGGCTTAAGGAGGAGAAAGAAGATAAAAGAATGATGTACTTGCTGTAGCTCATATGCAAATCTACTGAATTTTGTCCCAAATGGAAGCCTTTGAAAAAGGTAATTTGCGCTCTACCATAAAACACTTAGACTGGAATGGGGAAAAGAACTTGAAAAGAGAGAAGCTAGAGGGACTAAATGCAAAAAGGTTGGACATGCAGGTGACAGCCACAGTCTGTCCTTGGAGGAGCCTGAAATCAGACATTTTACCCAGACTTTTCCATCCCTTTCTGGGGACTGTCAATATAAATTACAACAATTTCATCTTTCTGTCTTTAACTTCATTCACTCAAGAGATGCAAGGTCCCAAATATTACTGAAGGATAAAATCTCATCTTAGTGAAGTCACTGTTTTCTGCTGTGACCATAGCCCTAGTAATAGCAATTTCTTCTGAAATACAGGCTTTTTTCTTCTGAAGAATCTCTTCAAAGATTCTGAAGCACCACATACTTCATACCATCCAAATGTTTTAATTTAGAAGTGCAACTTACTCTGTCCCCTTTTAGCCCCAACGACCCACATTCTGCTCTTTCACCCTATTAAAAGCATTAGTAAGTTTCATATCTGAATAGGATTTTTCAATTATTATTTTTTTCATCTGCATAGAATACTAATATAATTTTAAAGTTAGTTTTAAGGATTTCTATTATTCTTAATAATCTTAAAAATATATTTCATTTTTAACATGTTCTTGTAATGCAAAAAATCTGGTATTTAGGGAAGACTTTGTTCAGCACTGAAATACTTCACTTAAGACGTATTTATTTTTTTCTTGGAGATGTACAAAATAACAACCCCTACAAAACTAAAGAGCAGCATACATCGTGATATAAAACTAAGATCCTGCAATCTCTTCGTTTAGGCCAAGCTCCCTTTGGACAATCCCCCTTGCCATTTACATAACAGGCTAATTCCCATGGTATTTGTGGTCTGTGCCTGTGTGCAATTTGTGGGGACAAAATACTTGACAGGGGGAGGGCGGGGGGGAAAGGAGTTTTTCCTGGAAATGAAGTCACACAAAGCTGGTTACAAGGGAGGACTAAGGAAAAAGTTGTGTCTGCAAAGAGAGAAGTCCTTGGTTGCCACAACCTTCCTGGCAGGCAATAACCTCAGTCCTCTTGGCTGTGCTGCCATTTGCAACAGGTGTGCTCATTTTCAATTGCACTATGTAGGTGTTTGGTTTTTTTTTCATTTTTTAGTTGCACTAATACATCACAATCACTTTTAAAGAAAGGCGTACGACTCCACACAGAATTACCATTTTATTTAGGAACCCCCCCTCACCCCTCAGGCTTCCCACCAGAAAACCTCCTGGCACCCTTTCTTTATTATTCAGCTCCCTGCCCTTGTTTGCATGGGCTCATTGAACAGGTGTGAGGAAATCCGCACGTCCGTGAGGGAAACACGGAGAAAAACAAACTCCAGGCGAGCTACCTGGACAGAAAACCTCTCTTTTTATTACTTTCTCAAGCCACAGCCGAGCGCCCTCAGCCCCCCTCACAGCCCGCCCTGCCCCGCCCGCCGTGACGTCACCCCGCGCTCCGCCATCCCGCCCGGCCCCCGGAAGCGCCCTGGGCCCGCGGCCCTGCCCCGCCGCTTCCTTCCCGCGCAGCCGGAAGGGGCCGCGCGGCTGCCGCTGGGGCCGGAGCGGGGCCTGAGGTGCGGGGCCGGGGCGGGAGCGGGGCCCCCGCGCCCCCCGCAGCGGGGAGGGGACGTAGGGGGAGGCCGGGGGGAGCCGGGCGGTGGGAGTCAGCGCGGTGCAAGCCTGTGTTTGCTGGGAAGGAGGGCACGGGGACGCGGTGGCAGAGCCGTGGGGTCGTGAAGGTGGGGAAAGAGCCGAGGTCGGGAGGGCTGAGGTGTGGTGGGAGCAGCAGGGTAAGGTTAGGAGTGGGAAATCAAATATTTATACAGCTCTTTTAAGCCGTTTATGGTTTATAAAGTCATTTACGCAGCTCTTCAAACAGGGTCAGGCTTGAGGCGAAGCAGGGAGGCTGGTTTCTGTCAGCCAGCGCGCTGCAATGAGGCAGCGATGTTTTCTTCATGTTTTAGGGAGTGGCGCGTTACTGGCAGCACACCCACACACCGTGTTTCGCTTAATCCTTCCTTCCCTAATAACAAAATCGCACTGCTGCGGAGTTTGTAAACACAGCAGGCCCTGCTGTCTGCTTGGCTGTGTTGATTTTTGCCTCAGTCAGTGTAATCAAAATCAACGCGTGCGACAGGGAAAGGGATGTAACGTGGAGAATGCTGAGGGTTTGGGCCTGAAATATATCCATGGTAAATCCTGAGGCTAAAAGTAATTTGGAACCATATTTGTGTTTGCTGTAAGATGATCTCAGATGACAAATTTGCGTTTGATAACGTTCCTACAAATTGTTTTCTCAACAGTGTCCATATGAATGGATATCACCTGAATCTTCCTACAAGAGTTTAAACTGCTTGTAAACTCACCCTAAACATGAGTGGCTCCAAACCTGATATTCTTTGGGCCCCGCACCATGTTGACCGCTTTGTTGTGTGTGATTCGGAACTGAGCCTGTACCACATTGACTCTGCCGTAAGTTCAGAACTCAAGGCAGGGTCCTTGCGGCTCTCAGAAGAAACTACAGCCACGCTGTTGTCCATAAATTCAGATACACCATATATGAAATGCGTGGCTTGGTATCCAAAGTATGATCCCGAATGTCTTCTTGCCGTTGGACAGGCCAATGGTCGAGTGGTACTTACGAGCCTTGGCCAGGATCACAACTCAAAATCTAAAGATTTGATAGGCAAAGAGTTTGTTCCCAAGCACGCACGGCAATGCAATACCCTGGCGTGGAACCCACTGGATAGTAACTGGCTTGCTGCTGGATTAGATAAACATCGGGCTGACTTTTCAGTGCTCATCTGGGATATCAGTAGCAAATATGCTCCAGAGACTGCGGTTGCTACAGAGAAAGTGAGGCTTTCAACAGGCGATCCAGAAGTGGGACTGGTAGTAACAAAGCCACTCTATGAATTAGGGCAGAATGATGCTTGCCTCTCTCTTTGTTGGCTGCCACGGGATCAAAAGCTTCTTTTAGCTGGAATGCATCGAAATCTGGCTATTTTTGATCTGAGGAATACGAGCCAAAAAATATTTGTTAACACCAAGGCTGTCCAAGGAGTGACTGTCGATCCATATTTCCACGATCGTGTAGCTTCCTTCTATGAAGGTCAGGTTGCCATATGGGATTTAAGGAAGTTTGAAAAGCCTGTTTTGACCTTGACAGAGCAACCAAAGCCTTTAACAAAAGTTGCATGGTGTCCTACAAGAACTGGGCTGCTAGCTACTTTAACAAGGGACAGTAATATCATTAGGCTGTATGACATGCAGCATACTCCCACGCCTATTGGGGATGAAACTGAGCCTACAATCATCGAAAGAAGTGTCCAACCGTGTGAAAACTACATTGCTTCGTTTGCCTGGCATCCCACAAGTCAAAATCGAATGGTTGTGGTGACTCACAACAGGACTATGTCTGACTTCACAGTGTTTGAAAGAATTTCTCTTGCATGGAGTCCCGTGACGTCCTTAATGTGGGCTTGTGGACGACATCTATATGAATGTACAGAAGAGGGAAAAGCTAATTCCTTGGAAAAAGACATAGCAACCAAAATGCGGCTCAGAGCATTGTCAAGGTATGGTCTTGATACTGAACAAGTTTGGAGAAATCACCTCCTAGCTGGAAATGAAGATCCCCAGCTGAAATCACTTTGGTACACTCTGCATTATATCCTTTATTTTACTGTAGTTTATTTTAAGAAGTTGCCTGCACTTTGTATGTAAACCAATTATACGAAATGCATGAAAGTCTTTGAACATAATACGACATGCTCTAAAAACTTTGCATATGTTAATAGGTTATGACTTTTAACTTTAAAAAATTATTTTTCAAATGCTTGGGAAAAATTAAGGTTCCTATACATGTAAATACTTATGAAGCAGTATACTGAAGATATGGATCAAAAACTTACAGGAAACAAAGGTCCCTTAGTTTATGCTGGCATTAAGTCAATTGTGAAGTCATCTTTGGGTAAGAATATTCCAACTTTGATAAGCTATATTATAGTATGTTTACAGAATGATGCACTCATGGGTTTGTCTTTAAAAATTATTGAAAGACTATAAAAATAATATAAACAAAGTATTTAAGTTTGTGATTTAATGTATATGGGTAAATAGTTTATCTTACAGTAATTTCCTGAATTTTTGCTTTTCTTTGGAGGTCAATGATCAGAAAAACAAAATAACCTCAGAGGTAAATCTTCAACTGAACTATTTCAAACATTCAGTGATTGACAGTGACACTGAAAAGTCTTGCTCAGCACGTAACTATTTGTTACAGTTCTCAAAGCTCCACGTGGGAGTGTAGTTCTAGAAAGTTGACTTCAGTGTTGCCAAAGTACTTTTATATAACCATGTTTAAATAAGCTATCTTGTTTTGAAGTGGTAATCAGCCCTTGTGCATCACATTATGCCTCTTATGCTTAGTGAAGTATTTTTTAGTGGTATCTGTTATTAGAATCTTTTCTTCCCTGTTCATTATGTGTCTTATATTTATGCTGCTTGGAGCAAAGGCAACTCCTTAGCAGTGGGAAAGCTTGTAGCACATTGATGCTTGCTAAGAAGAGGAGAACTGGTAGAGCAGGTGCTTGGCTGTATTTTGAAGTTGGACACGCTGATCATTCCTGTCAGCTGTGTAACAAGAACCTCCAAAAACTCAGGATGGAGAGGAAAGAAAAAAGACTCAGTAGGGGATAAATGTCAAGTTTAGGTGCATGATTATTAGGAGATCAGAATAAAATTATTTTGTATATGCTGCTCCTTACAACCGAGTTAATAGTAATGTTAATTTAAAGTAGTAAAGTATGATACTTTGCTTTTCTCTCTGCTTTATGGTTGAAATCAAAGCACTGTGGCTGCAATTTAAATTGTGATTAAGGCATAATTTAACATATTTCCCATTTTTAGGAACAACAGAGAACCTCAGGCACAGCAGGAGTGGATCTGATAGACAGGCAGATATTATTCAGTATCTGAGTGAGGAGAGATCCTTGGCTTTGCAGCTCTGTGGGTGGATAAAGAAGGGAGCAGACTTAGATGTGGAACCTTTTTTAAATTCATTGGAACAGGAAGGAGACTGGGAGCGAGCTGCTGCTGTAGCACTATTCAATTTGGACATACGGCGAGCAATACAAATTCTAAATAAAGGTGCTTCCTCAGGAAAAGGTGTGTATTGCGTTTTCGTGTCTTTCTTCTTTTGGAATTGCATCACCTTGGTGGATTTTTCTGTAAACAGAATTCTGGAAGGTGGTAGGAAAAGGTGTCTGCTGACTTTTTAAATATTTACTTGAAATAGCTGGATTGGAGACTCAGAATCTGACAAATCTTGTTCTTTCACTCCTCAGATTATAATATACCTTACTATCTAATTAAAATGCATTGCATGTTTTAGAATTTCATATTAATGCATGACACAAAGTGTTACACACAGAAGTAGCAGGATTTTTTTCCTGTAATGGAATTGCACATTGGTCAGCTGTCATGTATGTCTCCTTCAGTTGGGCCGTATGGGGCTTTCTGTCAGTGCAATGGCTGTGGAATAACTAAAATATAACATTCAGGATTTACAGAAGACATTTGTTTTGGAATAGTATTTGGGAAGTGTTACAGTGTATGAAGGAAAAAATAACAATTTTAGAGCTAAGAGATGGAGGCATTTTGTTAGGTTTTCTTGCCAGTATTCGTACTACATCTCTGATTTGCATCTGTGTTCTCTTACTAAATTTAAAATACTGTCTTGCCTGCTTTAGATTTGGGGGAAGTATGTATGTTTTCTGTAGGGAAGGTTCAGAACAGTGACTGGCTGTCTTTGAATTGAAAAAAGAAAATTGAACTTTCTGACAATAAATATTTAGATAAAATAGATTTAATGATTTTAGGATTATTTTTTTTTGAACTAAAGCTGTTATATGCAGTTGTCATGCACCAGCATGGTCTGTTATGTAATGGTTATGTGTGTATTCCAGTACTTTCACTTCTTGTGGATATGAACTATGGTAATGACAACCTTTTGTGAAAGCAGTAAGAACGCATGTAGCAGTTCCAAACTATTGCAGAACACCAGAGCTAGAGTGATGCTGCTTAAAGTATAACTCAGGCTGTCGTGCATGTGGGCTTGTGACTTTGAGAGCAGAAACTGAGTCATTGAAAGCAGAAACTGCAAAAAGCTAGCGTATGTAATGTTGTTTTAGCTCATGATAGCTCTACCAGATTTTGTCAGGTATTCTGCAGAATATTCAGTTTCAAACTGATGCGTTCAATTATGGTTTTAATTGATTTCTTTTTTAAGTCTTGAACTTGAATATTGTTGGTTGTTTTTTAATAAATCAGGTGATCTGAACCTTAATGTAGTAGCAATGGCTCTATCAGGCTACACAGATGAGAAGAACTCACTTTGGAGAGAAATGTGCAGTACTCTGAGACTGCAGTTGAACAACCCCTACTTGTGTGCTATGTTTGCTTTTCTGACCAGTGAGTCTGGTTCATACGATGGTGTTTTGGTGAGTAAATTTATGTTAAATTCCTTTAAATAATAGGTGTGCATATATACATCCATGTGTAGGGGAAGTGTTACATGCTCCATGAATTAATCAGTTTAGAATGTATTATTTTTTTCCTCATACTGGCAGGTAATGTTTTTTCTTCTAAACAGAGTTCTCATATTAATGAACATTGTGTTAGTGTACAAACTGTATAAAAATGGGCGTATCCAACAGAGTTCACACAGTTCTTAGAGGAGGTGTTTGTTTTTTTTTTTGTGGCATGGAATTCATGAACCATTAGGAGTATATTATCAAAATAATTTAAGCAGGAGAGAGGTTGATGAACTGGATGAACTGGGAGGTGCTGTTGACTCCCTGAAGGGAAGAGAAGCTTTGCAAAGGGATTTAGATAGATGGAGCACTGGGCAATCAGCATGGCATGAAGTTCAGCAAAGGGAAATGCTGGGTGCTGCAGCTGGAATGGAGCAATGCTAGGCCCAGGCTAGGCGACGAGTGGCTGGGGAGCAGCTCAGCAGAAGGGGATCTGGGGGTGTCAGAATATCATGCCATAATCACGATAGCCCAGCCCTGCATGATTTGGAAATACGTTTCTAGTTTTGAAAGCCGCATTTGATTGTGTTGAACCAGCCTTTCCTGCCAGATGAGTAAATTGCCCCTGTTAGCCTCAGTCTTGATCTGATACATATATCTGAATATAAACAGTTTGTCTGCTATTTAGTGTTAGCTTTTTTTCAGGTGCTTTTTTTGTACATAATCAAATTCATTAATATTAGCTATACATTAAGGTAAATGTTCTGACTTTTACAAACAATGTATTGCAAAATTGGAAATTTGTATGTGATGGTAGTATTCCCATTTTTCTCTCCAAAGTATGAAAATAATGTAGCTGTACGAGACAGAGTTGCGTTCGCTTGCAAGTTCCTCAATGATGCTCAGGTAAGTCTATGGTTGGACACTCAAGCAAACTATTAAGCTGGGCTTTATTTAGAGAGGGAAGAAGATCTGGGGTGGAGAGGTAAACAGTAGAAGCAATGATTCATGAGGGATTTGTTTTTCTCCTTGCAATAGGATATAAGCCATGGTATAATCTGATCTTCAGTTTGTAACTTCAGCTTGATTTTTGACTTTTTTTTTTATAATATTCACGACATGCTAGTTTTTAAAATTGTTGTATGGCTTGTATGTCTCTCTTAATGGAGTGTATATTTATTTATTTCCAGACATTTACTTTCCCTTGAATAAAGGTTTCATTTTGCAGTAGGAATGTTTAAGTGTTTAAAAATAGGTTAATTATTAAAAATTAAAAAATCTCTTTGCACTTTGTGTCAGGAGGCTTAAAGTATATAGATAAAAATTTAAATTCTTGCAATATAGTACATATTGCCATATAAATTTTCCTGCATAACATGCAGCAAGCAGCATATTCTGTTAGCAAAAGACACTCTTAAGGAAAGCTGTTCAAATTGTAGAAAGTTTTGCAGTTATATCATAAGTGAGTTACAAGGACGTGAACAGACAGCAAAAGTTAGTGGTTTTTGTTTTGTTTTGTTTTTTTGTAGCTGAACAGATTTATTGAAAAGCTGACAAATGAAATGAAAGATGCTGGGAATTTGGAGGGAATACTATTAACAGGGCTGACAAAAGATGGAGTGGACTTGATGGAAAGTTACGTTGACAGAACAGGAGATGTCCAGACAGCAAGCTATTGCATGTTACAGGTTAGTGTTTCACTCAAAAATAAATTGTAACATGAGAGAACTGTAGTTTCTTTAGCAGCATAGTACGGAATCTTGTGAACTAAAAAGTATTTTTGTAGTACATTTTGACAGCATATATCATGCTGTGATATGTGGATTTTTATGATGGATATAGAGATGATATTGTGGAATCATCCAAACCACTTGAGGTTAACTATAAACTTGTATCTTCAAGTTATCTCAACAAGAGAAAGTGAGTGATAATAGGGAAAAGAGGAGAAAAAGCAAAAATAGCAGCACTGGGAATACCCGTTCCCCTGCTTATTACTGGTGTGTTTTCTGGTAGGTTCAAAGTATACATTTTTGCTTCCAGGATTTTGATGGAGAAGTGAAGTGTGGTGTGTTTTGTTGTTTGTTTGTTTGTTTGTTTGTGTGTTTGTTTGTTGTTGGCAGTGAGTATTGGAGTTGAGTTTATTGTGATGGTTTTTTTGTGTGTTTGGGGGGGTTGTGGTTTGGGTGTCGTAATTTTTTTTTTTTTTTTTGGTTGCGCTTGTGGTCCTTATTGGCACAGCTGCAGCTACTTCTAACACTGTGCACATATCATTTTTATGGTTACATATTTTACATATATACTGGGATATGTGACAAAAACGTATAATCCTTTGTATGACAGATGAAAGTGTTCAGGAGAATGTAGCAGCACCAGTATTCTCAACCTGAGAGGCAGACTGAAGAAAATGTTTATGAAACTCAGGTTAAATTTTAGCAGATGTTGTCTTTCTCTAGACAAATTACATTATTTCTCATACATTGTAGTATGCTTTGTAAAGCCTTATGAAAATGTGAATAATTTGCATTGTGTATCTTCAGTGTGTGACTGGCATTTTTTCCTACCTGCTTTAGGGTTCTCCATCAGATGTACTTAAGGATGAGAGGGTTCAGTACTGGATTGAGAACTACAGGAATCTCTTAGATGCATGGAGGTTTTGGCATAAACGTGCAGAATTTGATATCCACAGGAGTAAGCTGGATCCTAGTTCAAAGCCTTTAGCCCAGGTAAATTTATTTCTTCTATGAAATACGACCAATCCAGAAAGGAAGGTAGCATGGTACTTGTATAGAAACAAAAATGGTGGCTGCATCTTGGCTTTCCTGAAAGTTCATGTGCAAAAGAAAGATTTAAACTAAGGCTACCCTAAAAGGGTAAACATATTTGTTTGTTTTTTAAAATACTTTGGAGAAAGGACTTAACTGTTTTGGTAGAGAGCAGGGAAATAGGGTAAACAAATGTTTTTTCGTCTAATCAAGGAAATCACTATTATCATGGTGAGGATGATGCTGAAACCAGGGAATTGAACCAAGAACCAGTTCAAATTGACTTTGTTTTAAATGATCTGAACCTCCAAGCTATTTTGAAGCCCTTGAACCTAAACTAAAGTGAACAGCAACTTTTATTATCAGTTCAGAACATAAGCTAAACTGAAAACTGACGCCCTATACAAATATTATCTGGTAGCATTTTTTTTTCCAATGTGGTCTGGCCACAGCAACTGACACTCGCTCATATTTGCTCAGTATGCGCGTTACAAGCTTTAAGGTCCCAAGGGCTTTTAAGGAAGGCTATATTAGAATTCATGTGTCCTTCACCGCTATTTAAGGAGAGCTCCATCCATACTGTTGCAAGTAGAAGGGAGTTTACTGCTCCTGCCTTATGTGAGCATTGTAAATAATCCCTAAAGAGTGTAAAGTCTGTGCTTTCCTCTATATCACACCTCAACGTGTGGCATTAAATGTGCAGGTAAAGATTGCTAGGAAAATCCACACGTTCAGGACTCTGGAGTGGGTTACCAAGTAGAAAGAGGGAGAGACCAGTAGAGTAAACTTCTCTTCTTTCATATCTTCACATACAGCTTTTCATAATCTTAAATAATACCTCTAAGCAATAATGCATGGTGTTATGTGCTGTTGAGGTAACTGGGCATCGTTAAGGCCTGCTTCACAGAACTGCATGTCCAGTCTATAAGCCAAGATGTTGGCAATACCTTCACAAGAGAGTAACTTTCCAGTGCACTATCGAGAGTATCTGGTAAATGAGTATTTGCTAGGTTGAACAAATTCACTTATAGTTGTAGCACTAGAACCAAACTGAAAAATCAATGAGCTTTTGTTCTCTTTAGGTGTTTGTGAGTTGCAATTTCTGTGGAAAATCCATCTCGTACAGCTGTTCAGCCATTCCTCATCAGGGGCGGGGTTTTAGCCAATACGGAGTTAGTGGCTCACCAACTAAGTCAAAAGTTACAAGCTGTCCTGGTTGTCGTAAGCCCCTTCCTCGCTGTGCACTTTGCTTGATAAATATGGGAACTCCAGTTTCCAGCTGTCCAGGTATGACATACTGTTTTTTAGCTATTCAGCTAGAGTGCTAGGTACAGGCCTAATTAACAGTTCTTGTAGGAAGATCTTCTGTTGCACCTTTCTGTTTATTCTCATACTGTAAGTATTCATACCCTTAATTATAAGGGAGAGAGACCATAGTGAACATGTAAATGTGTTTACATCCCATCTAGTGTTATGATAAAACCTGTGTTTCAATTTTTTGGTGTCAGTTGGTATGCAGTTACCTGGTTTTGACCATTTTTACCAGTGGGGTTGTTAGTGGAATCCCATGGCTTAAACAGACAAAGATTCAAGTATCGTAGTGTTTTGCAATACGAGCTTTAAAATTGCAGGAAATGGGAGGTGTGTTTTCTTGGGATGAATTGATGGGAGGCTGCAGAAATATTGGAATTTACCAATTGATTTTTAACTGAAAGAAGACAGAATAAACATAACGTATACTTTCTGTGGCTGAGCGTGAAAGAATTTATGGGTGCTGCTGGCACATCTAAGAAATACTATCAATAGAATCTCTTGGTTCTAAATGTCTTGGGCTCAGCATTATATAAGGTTTAAGTGAAACTCATTTTGCCCATATTTTTAGGTCAGTCTTGTTAAAGAGTTATCGACAGCTGTACAGTTGTCGTCTGTGTACCTCCTCTAATTCTTTCACTGGTCTTTGTTATGACTTACTGTTGCAATTGTTCTACTTCATAACTGAGACTTGGTGAATTGTGTATATTTATACACACACACATACATGGGATTTTTGGCTTTAAAATATATATATGTGCGGAAAAACCAATGTATAATTCACTGGAACTGAAATCAATCACAGACATAAATCACTGCTGAAAGAGATTGTCTTCAAAGTTTAATAGGCAAGTGTAGCACATCCATAAGATGCAAAGCATTAGCTGAGCAGTATAATTCTTGTTTTGATTTTCTGTCAGTTCTTATTTAATAATTTTATCAACTTCTCTTTTAAAATCAGGCTACGTCTTTGCTTCAAGTTCCTAATTCCAAATTTATTGTAATGCTGTTACTGCAATTGCAATATACATGAAACAAGGATTTACAGGCATATCTGTGGGGATGGGTTTGCTTTTGCACAGGAGGATCTAAGTCAGATGAAAAAGTGGATCTTAGCAAAGACAAGAAGCTAGCCCAGTTCAACAACTGGTTTACTTGGTGTCACAACTGTAGGCATGGTGGACACGCTGGGCATATGCTTAGCTGGTTCAGGTAAGTTGTTCAAGTCTTCTATATTTCACTTGTGCATGCTGCACCAAGTAGGACACGACTCCTAGTTTTATCTACAATTAAGATGTTTTGTTTTAGAACGCTTGCAGAGCTTACCATGCTGCTAAGTTTTCTTTGAGATAAAGTGTTCCTGTACATTCTTAAATTCGTAGAACGCAAAATTCTTGGTAGTTTTATTTTACCTGTTTTTTCTTTTTTTCTGCTATTGCTGTCTAGGGACCACACTGAGTGCCCCGTGTCTGCCTGTTCATGTAAGTGTATGCAGCTGGATACAACAGGGAATCTCATTCCCGCAGAGACTGTACAGGCTTGAAAACATGGGGCTCTCTAATGGATGTCCATCATAGTCCAAGCATATATTTTAGACAAAGGTCATTTGTGACTTACTGTGAAAAAATAAATTGCTGTCAGATTAGTAAAATAACATGCGTATGACTGTGCTTGGTAGAAACTGATAATCCTGGAATGAGCCTTGTTCAGTGAACTTAAAAGTTAAAAAGCACTCCTAGTAGCTTTGTTAAATTCAATTAACTTTTAATGAAGTTTTCAGGGTAATGCTTATGGGCCCTTTTATCAGTTTTCTAAACAAAGCAGTGTTTATATACAGTGCTTAGTAAAATTGAAAATTCAAAATAAACAACTGAAAAGTGTTCTCTAGAGGATGGCAGAATGACGCTGTGGCATCCTCTCATTGATTGATGACACTTCCTCGAATGCAATCATTTCCTTGTAAATTAATTGTGTGCCATTGTTAATCACATTCTAAAGATATTTAAAGAAAAATCAATTTCTTTCTTTTCTCAAGATTTGTTAATAGTAAGCAATATCTTTGCAATTCAAGATCTTATTTAATGTACCTATATTACCTAGCTGATGCGAATTTTAATGCTAAGGAATTCAGGAGCTTTGTCTCCTAACAAGGTTGATATCCTGGAGAAGAGTTTCCTGAAAATTCATGTGTAACTTCGAGTGCAGAATGCAGGTGAGCTACAAGAGGCTTTATTTTGAACATAGTACTGTGAAGATCTGAAATCTCAAGGACTGGAGGCTTGTAAATATTTAAGTTTTAAACTACGTGCTGAGTTTTGACTACAAACATATTTGAATTTTTAAGACTTTGGGATGAACGGGATTTTCCTGCACTTCTGAAACATACTGGGATGTGCGAAGTGAAGCAATTTATATCCTGCTTCAGGTCACTGCTGGACACCAGTATGCTCCCAAAAGGCTGCACAATTTTAGGTCATTGACTAGAAATGGTACTAGGTATGTTATCAGCTGGAATTAAGTTATTTATTATCTTGAGAGTCAATGATATCTTGCTAATACTGTGCAAGGACCTAATCAGTATTGTTGTCCTTGATTTTGTAGGCAACGAAATTCACATAAATTAGGGAAAAAACCTGTTTTAAGGTATGTGAAAATAACATCAGTTTACTTGGTGTGTGTTTATTTACTATTAGAAACAGTATGAGTTACTTAACACTTGCGTGCTATGAAATACTAAATGGAATGCTAGCAATAAACTGGTACCATATTGCCAGGACTGTGAAATATGTTGTTTTAAAACGGAATATATTGTAATATACCACTGGTTCTAAGTGCTCTAGTGTAGTTGCAACAGGATAAATTGTGGAAATGTTTTCTGTGGGTGTACATAATTACATTTTGGACTTTCAGTTATATTGTCTAATTCATGTTGTAATACATCTGCTACATTTATTCTGATCTACGATTCTTGCCTAATTGACAAAGATATTTTTAAAGTTAAATCTAAGAGGTACTTGATATTTGTAGTCAGACTGTCATGGGAGAGCAGTTAATGGTTTTTCTGTTAGAATATTTATTTCTCTTTCTGGTATTTTTGCACACCTTATGTTGCTCTTGAAGAGCTCTTTAAAATGTTCTCCATTAATAAATGTAAACTGGGGTTTAATGTATGATACCCTATTTATATAAACACAGGCAATAAAACTTGCTTTATGAAAATGAGGATTTGTAAGTGTCAAGGATATATTTTTATTCCTCTGTAATAATACCAACTATTACTAAATTTTCCAGATAAAATTCCATGTCTGGAATGTACGTACTTAATGTCTAATTTTCTTATGTAAAAAAAAAAATGCCATATTTGTAACATTTTTGACTTGACTATATTTGTTTCAATTACCATCATTTCATTAAATTAGATGCTTTGACATTTAGCATGTCTTTGAAGTGTTCTAGATTATGAAATATGTACATACTCGGGTCCACTGTAAAATATCAGTTTTGGGTGTTGTAATGGGTATTTGGGGTTTCAGGCCAATAATTACACTCTTTGCAAAACTTACTCTATAAGAGGTGTGTTTACTCATCTTTTTTTTTCCTTGTTTTTGCTTTTAAATAATAAAATCATGCTTTTGGGGAAGATTTGTTGCTTTCTAAGAAAACTATAGCTACAGCTATTTTATTAGCTGCAGTTGCAGAATCACAAAACGGACAAGGTTGGAAGGGACCTTTGAAGATCATCTAGTCCAACACTCCTGCTGAGCAGAATTGCCTAGAGCATGTTGCATGCGATAGCATCCAGGTGCATTTTGACTATCTCCAGAGAAGGAGACTCCACAGCCTCTCTGGGCAAGCCGTGCCAGTGCTGTCACCCTCACAGTAAAGAAGTGCCCACCGCTATTCAACCGGAACCTCCTGTGCTTCAGTTTGTGCCTGTTGCCTCTTGTCCTGTCACTGGGCGCAACTGGAAAGAGACTGGCTCCATCCTCTCCATATCCTGCCCTCAGGTATACATGTATATACGCATTAAGGAGGTCTCCCCTCAGCCTGCTCTTTTCCAGGCTAAATAGTCCCACTTCTCTTAGCCTGTCTCTATGACAGGTGCTCTGGTCCTCTCATTGTCTTAGCCCTCCTCTGAACTCACTCAAGTAGTTCTGTGTCCCTCTTGGACTGAGGAGCCCAGAACTGGACACTACTTCAGCTGTGGCCTCACCAGGGCTGAGTAGAGGGGGAGGATCACCTCCCTTGTCCTGCTGGTAGCACCCTTCTGAATGCAACTCAGGATCTTGTTGGCCTTCTTTGCCCCAAGGCCCACTGCTGGCTCATGGTCAGCCTACTGTCCACCAGGGCTCCAGGACTCTCTCTGCAGAGCTGCTCTGCAGCAGGTCAGCCCCCAGCCTGTCCTGCTGCTTGGGGTTATTCCTCCATGGGTGCAGGACCCTGCACTTGCCTTTGTTGAATTTCATGAAGTTCCTCTCGGCTCAACACTCCAGCCTGTCGAGGTCCCTCTGAATGGCAGCACAGCCCTCTGGGGTATCAGCCACTCCTCCCAGCGTGGTGTCATCAGCAGAGCTGCTGAGGGTGTGCTGCATTCTATCAGCGGGGTTGTTGATGAGTAAGTTGAACAATACTTTCCTAGTACTGACCCCTCAGGGACGCCACTAGCTACAGGCAACCAAGATCGGCTCGGGTTGGAAGGGACCTTAAAGATCATCTAACTCCAGCTCCCCTGCCATAGACAGAGGTGCCACCCACTAGATCAGGTTGGCCAAAGCCCCATCCAGCCTGGCCTTGAACACCTCTAGGGATGGGGTATCCACAGCTTCTCTGGGCAACCTGTTCCAGGGCCTCACCACCCTTCCGCAGTGAGGAAGTTCCTCCTAATGCCTAATATATCCTCACTTAGTTTAAGAGCATTCCCCCTTGTCCTATGCCTTCTTATGGGTAAAAGGTGTAAATGGTATAAAACATACACAATTTTTACCATAGTGGTTTGTGTCCTCTGCTTTTTTAGGTGTAACAGTTACGAAAGGTATAAAACGGGCCTGATTTTTACCCAAAGTGGAGCTCCTTTCGTCTGAGAAACTTGCTGTGCTGCTCGGTGGAGGGCAGCCCGTGCTGGAGCAGTCCACTCCCGAAGGACTGCACGCTGTGGTACAGCCCGCAGGCTAGCAGTCCTCAGGCAGGCAGGCATTTTCTTCTGGCCCGGGCTCAGGAGACTTTTTCTGTCAGCCTTTTTCCTGTTAGGGCCTGGTCACCTTTATGGCTGCTGCCCTCACCCAGTTACCCAGTCACTTGATAATTTCCCATCCCCTAAATGACTTCCTTCTGGGTTGCTTCTTAAGATTGATTTATTGTTTTCTTTAAACGCGAGGCTCAGCCTGGTGGCCTGTGTGGTCGCCAGCCCCTGGCTCCTCCTGCTGGGCCCTTCACATCCTCGACGTGTCCCCAGTGTTGGCGTTCAGCAGGGACTGGGGCCGTCTGCGCCCGTCCTGCTCCCAGTGCCAGGAGAAGCTGCGGACGAGCTGTCGTGTGGTTGCGGGGCTGCGGTCCCTGCGCCTGGGCGAGACGCTGCGGGACCTGTAGCTGGAGGGGCTCTTCCGCTGCTGCTGCTGCTGCCACCGCCCCAGCCCAGCATTGCGCTGGAACCTTCCCCCAGTCCAGCGGGCCAAGGCATCGCGCAGGGCAGGTGGCACCAGCCTGATGATGGCTAGGATGGGCCGCCGGCAGACCTCAACCTCTCAAGTGTCACCAGCCGGACTGAACTCAGGCTGGATGCTTGGGGCATTTGTAGACTGCTGCCTTTTGTGAGGCCATTGGGTGGCAGTGACTCCATGGTGACATTACACAGCTCTTGGGGTGCCCCTGATGGAGACACTTAGGGAATTGATGTGACTGTTGTGAGAAAATTCTGATGTGAAATGGCTGCTCCATGCTCACAGGAGCAATGTCTGCCAGGCTGGGGTCCAGGCTGGGCACTTGTTTTTTATCCCAAACCCATTTTTCCCCCAGATGGAGCTCCTTTCGTCTGAGAAGCTTCCTGTGCTGCTCGGTGGAGAGCAGCCAATGCTGGAGCAGTCCGTTCCTGAAGGACTGCACGCTGTGGTACAGCTCCTGGGCTGACAGTTCTCAGGCCAGCACATGCTTGTACTGGTGCTTGGGGTTATTCATTCAATCCACCTCCCTGTCTACTCATCTAGCCTGCGCTTCCTGAGCTTGCCCAGTTTTCTGCAATCTTCTCGAGTCTGATAGTTAGCTATATGAAGGTGGCTTTGTACACCAGAACTCCTTTTTGACCTCAAAGGGACTTACAGCACTTACCACTCAGATGCCATCAAATGTTTACACTCACAACCACATATCCAAGGATGGTCTCTGTGTCAGGGTAAAGTGCTATAGCCATCTAGTGGTGGAATCTAGTCTTTTAAGCTCAGATAGGCCTTGGTAAGGACTACTTGCACGTAACATTTTACGGAACATACATGTATATATAAGCACGTATTTTTTTTCTAAAGAATAATTCATAAGAATTAAATGCTAGTAAAATAACCATGTAATTATTAACAACATTTTATTTTGCTAAGCACTAAAATATAGCAGGGACAGCATTACAGGACAAAGCGTGGTATTGTGCCATTGGCACCTTCTTGTTTGCTGTATGAGACTGACCCACACTTCAGATGTTGTTCTTCCTTCCAGTGACAGTAACTTTGTCACTTTCTGTCTTCTAAGTATCTGGAAAAAACAGATCACCTGTTAACTTGATCACCCACCCTGTGGATGGGTTAACTAATAATCCATTAATGATTTGCACAAATTAAGAGTAGAGCTGTCATTTGTGGTAACTTTGATAAATAAGGAGTCTTTAAAACATAAATTCCTTGACTGAAAATTGAGATATCCATGAACAAGCACAATGCTAGCAATCTTAATAAGGCACTAAATCTCACTGTTAAAACTGGAGCCTGTTTTTCTTAAATATTAATGAACATGGATCCAAATAAAATATTTATTTAAAATGCTTTGAACTGTTTCACTTTTTACTTTATAGTAAGTATTTCAGAAGTTAGATTTCACTTTGATTGTGTTACTTTAAGAAGTGTAAGAATTCTATGTGCTGTTAAATAGCCTGGATAGTAATGAAACTGGGAATTGTGTGGAAGTTTGTATGATTAAAGTCATCATGACATGCCAGCTGAATCCTGGTACTTCTACCTTGATGTCCACCAAGAACGAAGGTTGTGATGGGAACTCAATAGCACTTGAAATTCTCAAGCTCAATTAGACACTTACAGCTTTAAACTGTTTAACATCAGTGCAAAAGGCAAGTACCTAGTACTCAATTTTGTTAAAATTAAATTATGTGTGCAGGTAGAATAGGAATCACTGAAAACAGCACTCAAAGATAAAATACTGACACGAGTAGTTAAACATAATCAGACCTTTTTATTGTAGAAGTGACCATTATCAAGATGCAAAATAAATCTCCCCCCCCCATTTAATAAATTGATACCAAAGCAAATGAAATTAAAAAATATTTTTACATTAAAACCCCACCGAATGTCTTCAATACAAGTTTTGTGTTAAATATCCTGGAACCTCAATAAACTACAACAACAAAAAAAAAATGCCTACAAAACTTCCATTTCTAGCAAGTCAAATCCTGCAAGAGACCATTCCTCATGAATGCAAAAGGGTTAAATATATACAGACAGTGAGACAGCCACAGAAATGTTCTGCTTCTTCCTTTTCAATTTCAGAGAAAGTAAATTTCACCAGCCACACCTGGTGCATACAACAGCTGCATGGTGGAAACTAATGCAACTATTATCATGCTGTCAAGCAGGAAAGCTAAGGTACTGCTGCACCCTCTGAAGCTCTAAATATACGCTAAGAAGAATCAATTGTTCCTCCCGGTGCCAAATGGGAAGTATTCAGGGAATTCGTGAATAATTTTCAGTGCTTCGTTGTAGAGTTCCAGATCTGAAAGAGGGCAAGGAAAAGCTTGTTAAGTTCCCCACTAGCAAACCACAGCATCAAAGCACTGCTTATTTGAAAGCAGTACAGCAGAGTGTTTTCAGTCCCTCTCACCCTCCCCAGTTTTCCCAAGCCTGCCACATCTCATTGCTTTCTACCTGGAGGATTATTTTTTTGACCTGCTAACTGGACAATCACAAAAGGAGTACAAGGCAAGGGAAGACAAAGAATCCGGGACTGGGAGAATAATCAGACCAAGACAAGGACCTCAACCAGCTCAGGCCTTGAGTCAGTCCCTGCTTTTCACCTGTAAAACAGCATATTCAGTATGTAATTCCCACACCTGTGTCCATTTACTATTTTTCAGTGAGCTTGAAGAATAACCTTGTCCATAAGAACAGATAATCATGCTCTTCTCACTTAATGAAGAAATGTTCAGAACACGAATTTGATTTCTCTTAACATATATCCTTACTTACCAAATGGACTTTTATCTTCTCTGAACTGGACGTATGACATGCACATGATGGTTGCCTGATTTGTTACTCTTCCCACCACTTCAATAACTCCTGAGATCTCTTCATCTAGCTAGAAAACGTACCAGAAATCAAATTAGTATCACCAAATTACCTGCTGATTCTGCTACACAGCACTGGAGCTAGG